GGATATAATGTCTGGCTTAATAAACTTTGTTAGGTGAAATAATGGTATGTCGAGATCGACCCGAGTTCAAAAGGTGATCCCGACGAGTTAAGGACGTATTTTTAAGTAATGTAGTTTGGCGCGCAACCGGCGCGCAAACTTGGGTCACTAAATCTGTGTAAGATTGTAATGATAAGTAAAACATGTGTAAAAGCCACTTCATGTAATGACTCGGGGTCAGTTGTTGAATATAGCGGCGTTACGTTAACTTAGCCTTGCGGTTGACTTGGTTTCTGTCGCACGCACTTACGTGGTGGAGTTTTAGACCAAGGTTTACTTGTGTAAGTGCGCGTAAGTGAGCGATTTTTGAGTGAAAACATCCATCGGTTAGTGCGTCCAGTACATGTCCTGGCGAGGTCGTCAAATATGTTATGAACCTTTTTATACGTACGGAATAAATGTCCTAGACTTATGTAAATTAAGTATGCTTAATTCAAGCGTGGGCTCGAAATAAGACATTACGTGTTCGACTTATTTAGCAGATAACGCAATCTGAAGATCCCACTGTTCGTGTCAGATTTATGAAAAGAAAACCCAAGTTCACAAAATGACCAGTTAAACTATTAATTCGTCGACTTCATATTTTAAGTTAAGTCTCCAAGCCTTAGCTCTCCAAAATCACGTCTCCTCCGTGCTCCGTCTCTCCCAATCTCCCCCTAAGTTATCAATCCCAATCTCTTATAAATATACTCATTTCTTATCTTAGGTGAATCCAATAAAAGCCTGTACGTCAACCTACTTGTTTTTCTCTTCAATATACAATTAACACTACAATAATTGCACTAATATGTTTCCCTTTGCGGTGCTAATAACCTTTATTTCAAACTCATTAACAATTTTAAAACCAAAACCCGTGAAGGCACACTTCAACAGGAATTATACTTAAGATCGGCGTTAGCACTCAAATTGACGCACTCAGCGAAATTCTGTCATATGCAATTATCCTTACCGGGGGAATAGGTCAAATCAAAGAACGCGGAAACTCGCCATAACTCTTGGGAAATTACCGGTACTGTCGCGTGGATTTCATCCTTAGTCATGTGAAAGAACCAATGTATATAAGCAGTGGTGAATTTGGGGGAGGGGGGATCGATTTCTAAAAAAAAAAAAAAAAAAAAAATCCCACCCTGAACCCCACGCAAGTGGGGGTCGACTTCCCATCCGCGAACCCTCCTTCAAATAATCCGGGATCTGCCTCTGATAACTAAATGTTATTTGTCATCAATTAGAATAAGAATGATCAGTTGCTCAATGTTAGTTCACGTATCAGTTTTCATATTTATCAAACCAATGTAGATATTACAGACGAAGAAGTTTTAAAATGGTCTATGTGGGAGAAACGGGTATTGATCAATCATGTCGGTATGATGTGATTTTTACATGATTGCACAACTTAAGAGTCGTAAAAACTCCGCGTGTGGACATCTCTAAGTAATTTCGACGGCACTTCGTGAATCGACTTACTTCCTGATAGGTTATCCGTGTTTTATATAAATGGTTAAGTAGCGCAAGTCAAGAGCTGATTAGTATTTCTACAAGGAGGCACACAGTTGACTTTAATTAGCATTGACTTTGAATGGATCCAATTTGACTGAGGTGGTTGTTTTTTTTTAAGACTTCAAAATGAATTTAAACAAATAAACGAATGTATAATTACAGTTATACCGCTCGAGGCGCAATATGAACTGTATTTACAGAAAACAAGTCAAAAATCGTTTAATTGCTGATTCAGAAAAGTTCTGATCTAAATACTTTTTCTTGTTTCTGGAGTAAAACGGTTGATTTTACTGAATTGAATTTTACGTTGCTGACACTAAATGAAATGAAAAAAAAAGTAAAAATTAGAGCGTCGCTTTAGGTGCTTACGACTAACAGGACTGAAAAAAGTGTTCTTTGTATTTTGATTGAATCAGGCCATTTCAAATACACTATATAACATATTTTCAACAAAGCTAACCTAGAAAGTGATTTTCGAATGGTAAATTACAAAATTAAAAAGATCCTCCTACTTTCCACAAAATATATTCATTTTATTCATTTGATAACTGAAACTATGAAGAGGTATGTCAAATGTATAATAGTACACAGCTTTATATTCGGCTGAAACTTGAACTGCTCATGGATGTTTTTAGATAAAGAATTTTTAAAAAAATCAGTTAAATCCCATCAATAACCTTGAGGATTAAAAACCACAATAATGTCTATAATTTTCACATCAACTTCACGCATGTAGCAAGTCACCTAACTTGAAAAGCTTCGTAATGAAGCCTAAATCTAAGCTAGCCTTTTGTTTCGAAATATTCTTTCTCGATAAAATGTGCACCTACCGGTAGCCAGCACTTCCATTCCTAAGACTTGCAATCCTGTTACACCTGCAGTATTGCCCATTGCTAGACTATATGTACAAGGCTGTCAAGCAGCAATATCGCCCGGCGCTATTGCTGAATGCGCCATGGCCGAGACAACAACTACGATGGCAACAGTTGAATGACTGCATGGATTCTTCATAACATAATTGTAACTGACCAGATAAATTATATTGCCTGTCCCTAAGATGCTGGTTAATATAAACTGAACATTTGGGTTCTAACTTGTAAAAAAAACCCAGATTCATAACTACATGTATGTTTAAAAGCCCAGTTAGAATTATCTCACAGTTTGCATTTTTGTAACCCCACACACTTTATTCATGCGTACCCTATTACCATAAAATCTAGACCACGACATAGTTTCATATTCTTAACAATAATTTCGGTGGCTATTTTAATTACCTTTTCAATTTGTTATAGTAAAATTTAAAAATCTCACTGGGGTATGGTAAAAAATACAAGTCTTAACTGTCCAAACATCAATCAACGTCACTGACGTTTTTACGAATGTCCCGCTACTTAGGATAGAGGGGATATAAAAAATTAGAACCAACCTAAGAAGTCCTAACATGAAGTCCATTTTTCTACCTCATACCCATTATCAAAGAACCCATTCATGCCAAGTTGTAAAAGTGTAAGTACTTAAATTCATATTTTACTGTTATAACTTCACCATATCACCATATGAATCAATATTATTTATGAAAAAAAAAAAACATAGTTAAAGGGATAATAACTCTTCGTATGGCATCTATACTTCACAATAAAAACATTGTGAATAACTCATAGAAATATAATATATTCTGTTTTACCACAAAAACGGCAGTTATAGCTATTATTCTGATATCTGAGCTTGTCTTTAGACCACGTGACCTCCACTGATGGCTATACTCTGTTAAGAGATTTTAACGAGAATCCAAATTTTTTAGAAAAAACCAGGGACTAACTTTGAATGTAAAAATGGATTCATTAACCATTGGTAAGTATGGGAAAATTGTTGTTAATTTTTTTTTTTGCCGAAACAAAGAGTTATTATCCCTTTAAGCCTAATGAGACACAACATAATCAGGCAAGAGAATATTTGAAAAAAAAAACTGTATTTATCCAGAATGTCAAGACTTTGTGAAAGGGGGTACTTATTTCTCTTCCCTAACCCCAAATGCAGTAAAATATGGCGCATATACATACATGTGTATAAAGTACCATTCAGGTATTGCATTTTGCTGCACTTTTGAATCATTTTTTATGTATTTTCCCTGAGAATAAAAGGACATTGTTGAAGTTATATTAAAAAAAAAAGTTCCAAAGCTCTTAGAAAATCATAGGTCTTACTGCCTTGAAAGATATTCCAACATTACACTGAATAAAATCTACTCTGTAATATGTCAATTCAATTTTAAAATTGTCAGAGTCAAAAGTACAGCAGACCTCACCCTTGGCAGCCTCACATTTAGATGGCACCCTTGGCTGCCTCACATATAGAGGGCACCCTTGGCTGCCTCACATATAGAGGGCACCCTTGGCTGCCTCACATATGGAGGGCACCCTTGGCAGCCTCACATATAGTGGGCACCCTTGGCAGCCTCAAATATAGAGGGCACTTGGGTATACCAGACTGAATACCAAATTCCCAGCTGAGCCTAAGGACAATACAGAGAATGCAATACACCTATAATGGGAATCTTATAAATAAATAAATAAATAAATAAATAGCCACTCCCAATTTACTATATACGTGCAAGGTCTACTGTATGCACATGAAGAGAACAATCTTTTATCAAAATACAATAATTCAAGAATTCAAATAAAACCCACTTGTTCCAATAATTATGTACAAATTTAAAACCAAAATATATACATATTATTAACATTCCAGCTACTCAATATAATATAACAATAATTTAAAAGTCTTAATATTAATAACTCAATGATTTATAGTTTTTCACATCCTAAAGCTTAATCAAATCAATTGGCTGCATATAAGGTTATAAAATTCAAATGACTGAACAATTTTTCTTATATGGCACATGCAAAGAGAATAATGTACTAGTACATATTTACTGCTTCTATATTTTTAATATTAGATTACAAATTTTCTTTTGTTACAAAATAATAAGCATTGAGATACTATCTTGCATCATAATATTAGTTAAGGAGGATTAAAACCTTATGTTCTTATATTATTAACAAACTGAAGAACATATTCCAATATGTAATTAACATATGTGAATTGTCTTAATTTATCTTTATCTTACTCAATTCTATCTGCTTAGCACCTGATAAACTCAGTAAGTATTCTTATTTTAGAAAATTATAGAAAATAAATGTTACAATTCAAATAAAAATGTTTATGCATTACCATGTAAACCAATGTTTAAACCAATGTTTAAAATTCATTCAATTTTGCCTGAATTCTAAAACAGGCTACAGCTTATTTTATTTTTTTTTTTTTACATACATACATTGCCAATTACATAGTAATCAACAAAATGTACTTCACCAAATGTAAAAATATATTGAGTTACTTACAGCAAAAACAAAACTAAATTAAATATGTTACAAAATGATAATAATAATAAATCAGTAAATAAATGATAGTATAAATTACAAATGAACTTTAATAATAATCAATAAATCATGGTGATAAATAAAAAGATAACTATTTACAAATTAGCAGATAATTCACATATCAAAGATTCTAGATTATTTAATTATTCATCAATATAATCATTCCATAGTACTAATTATTATACAAAAACTCATTAATTATTTAGTTTCAAGTACGGCAAATACATAAACCTATTTAGTGCATTTAAACAAAAAAAAATGGTAGAACAGCAAACTTCACGCACACACACTCTTATTAATTTTCAATGGTCACACCATTCTACGGACCGTCATCACATCTCTTCTTCACTGCAGAGAACATGTCATCCATCTTCCCACCAGCTATGTCCTCTTGAAGTTTCAAAATCTCCTGCGAGTTCGGTTTTTTGGTTTCAGGTGTTTTTTCAACAATGAAAGACCCTTCCTCCGAGTCTGTGGCTGAAGCTGATGCACCAGTTGAAGGTTGTTGCCCTTGATCTGGACTGTCTGCTGTTTGTTTACATCCTCTGTCTTTTGTCAAAACACTATTCCCATCATCACTGGCGTGACATTTTTCTGTTACAGAACAAACGTCCTGTGACAAATCTGCTACTGAATCTTTGAATGAAGTTTCCATATTTAGATTGGTTAAAGAAAAGTTTTTGTCAGCGGTGGCGTGTAAAGCAGACGCAGAAGATTTAGAATCAGGGTCACCAGCAACTCCTGCTGATTGTTTCTCCTCAGAATCAGTCACCACAATATCAAATCTATTAGTTAATTCTTGGTCATTATGATCTCTTTGTGGGTTAGCACTGTCGGTGACAGATTCAGACATTTTTTTCTCCTCTTCCTCCTCTTCATCGCTGCTCCCCAGAACAATAACCTCGTCTGACTGGTAAATGGCCCTTGGTCTTGGGGGCTTGGGAAAGGGTACACGAGGAAAGGACTGAAAGGGGACAGGTCTCCCAATGCCTCTAACCCTACTGGAACCTCTTAGTATATTTGGCACATGGCCGACTTTGATCAGATGATCACTGCTATCTGAATCGTCGCTGAAGATTTCCTCACTGTCATAGCAACTGCTTAGATTGTCGTCGCTATCACTAAGAAGCTCACGGACTGTAGTTCCAGTTTCAAGAGGCATTTCATCAGTAAGGTCAATAACATCATCTTCACTAGGGGCATTCCCTCTCCTCAGAGTTGTTGTGGCTGTAGGATTACCTTGTCTTGCATAAATGCTGCCATCTAGGGTTGTGTTGTTGGTAAGTGCTGCTGTTAGGTGGGGCCGTTTCTTCTCAATTTCTAAAAGTCTTTCCAGTCGTTTTTGCCTGCTCCTCATAGCAAAAAATGCGCCAACAGTCATGTCACATGGATTCAGATTGGCAGTGTTCGATCCAGCCATACTCTCGTCCCTGAATCGTTGCTGAAAAGGATAGCGTGAAAAACCTGCCCTAGCACTCCCAGCAACATCATCCAACAATATGATGTCATCATTATTCTCCTCTGGAGTATTAACAGACTTATCACTTTCAGAATCACAATCCTTATTTTTATCATCTGGTGTAGCCAAGCCCTTATGGAGATCAGAATTCTCACCATTATTCTTTTCAGAGTTCATCTCTCTTTGCTTTTTGCTAGTCACATTTGAGGTAGCCGTGCTTGTCGTCCCTTCTATTCCATTTAGGCAAGTGTCTTGTGAGCACTGTGGTGTTACAGTGGCATCGCTGTCAGTAATGGATTTATTTTTTCTTCCTTCGATACTTTGCTGAGAACAATGGGGGGAGATGGTAACATCACTGTCAGTTGGACAACTAGTGTTTAATATGTCATCATCCACTGTCTTTTTACAAGAACTTTCAGCAGCAGCATCAATAACAACATCATTTTCCAACTGTTCCTTGCTGCTATGGATTTTACTGTCAGCAGCATTTGATAGTGGCATTGTGTTTTTACTGGCCAGAACTGATTTTCCACTTGAGGGAAAATCAGGAGGAGAAACCATGACATTGCCTGAACTGCTCTCAATATGCATTTCTGAATTAGTCTGCGTGTTGTTCCCTTTCTCTTCCGAGGTGATGCCATTGACCAATAAGGTCTCCTCTTGGTCGCCATGGCAACCATTTTTAATATATTTTCTTTGGTCATTTACCTGTTCATCTTCCTCTTCCTCCTCCCCATCGCTCATGTACGTAAGAGACTGGCTATACTCTGTGAATATGCAATCCCACGACAATGAGACAGATTCCACTTTTCGATTCTCCATTTCCTTCTGGGACTGGTCCTCCGCCACCACCTCTGCCTGATGATCTCCATCGCCTTTTCTTGCCTCTTCATCAAAAAGATCCAAACCACCCTCGGGTTGAGAAAACCGGTCAATTTCTTCATCGGTGATGTAAGAATCACTGTCTTCTCTTTGCTCCTGACTGTTATCATTATCATCATCATTCCCACGAGCTTCCATGAAGTTGCCTTTCACTGTGTCAGGACTAAATGAAAGACCATTGACCTCCATACCATCACCATTGCTGTCTCCTTTCCCAGAGTTAACCTGCAAATTCTTTCTGCTTCTCTTTTTGGGTGGGGTGTCTGAGAGGTCTAACTCTTCAGAATTCTCAGTAGAGGTAGCTGTGGATAGAAATTATAAAATGTCTTTTACCATTTTATGACTTCATGATAACATGTTATTTGATTATAAAATAACATGATAACTTGTTATTTTACAATCAAAACATAAAGGAATTGATCTCAACAATGATCACTACATAATACAAAAGGATATTCATACTTTAAAAATTTTTTTTGGCTCTACTTAAATTTGCATCCAACAAAATTTCATTCAGTAAAAATCCAAATAGCCCTATTCTTATAAAAAATCAACATCATATGGGGAGAATATTTTATAAAACTTACAAAAATTTAAGCCACATCAAGTGTCAAGTTTCAAATCAATAAAAAAGTATTACATTCACAGATATTTATTTGTACTAAAGCAGAGTTTGAGTACAAAAGAACCAGACATGGTGTATCTTACATAATGAGTACACAACCCTTAGAAAAATTTCCCACAGAGTCCTTTAGTGTTCTACAGAACCATGTAGGAAATTGGCCTGAAATTCTTTAGGGTCCTATATGTTTCCAATAGGGCATCTTTAAGAATTCCTATAGAATCCCATGGAGTCATGCAGGATTCCTAAAGAGTCCCATAGAGCATACAGAACATCTCAGGAAATTTTTGTAAGAAGGGTGGAAACCATGTCTGGGACTCTTGTTCTCAATGCACTGTATTTGCTGTCAGATAAATACTTCCAGAGCAAAGGCATATGTGACATCCACACATGCTTTGCATTGTAAATCACATACATCTCTATCACTAACACAAGGTGCATTGACATATTACAATACCTGATGTCTTTTTTCTCCGCTTCTCAAACCACTTCCTGTTGAGCATGCCCAGTGGCTTATACTCCCCGTCTGTTGTACCACGCGATATATGTTGCAGTTTCAGAAAACTGTTCAGTCTTTTTTGTACCTGAGGATAAAAAAGGAGCATTTAAACATATAGAGCACTACTCCCTTGAAACCTTATGATTATAATTTTCTCAGATATTAAATAAGTGACCAATGGTTTTATAAGTAACCAAAAGTAAAGTGAATATATATTAGGAGTATAGTTTAGTAATATCCTATATGTGTTTGTGTATACTTTATAAAGACTCTCGACTTTTGCCTATATACTTCAATTCCCTTTGGATTGTTTTGTATCTCTCTCTCTGTTTCTCCATCTCTCTCTCATTATTTGTTTGCTGGTTTATTTCTTTGGTCGGTTATTTTAGATTCAATTATGACTTCCTTATTAACGACATATAACATGCCATTTATGAAAATTATAATAAATCTAGATTTGCCTACAAATACCTTTTCCAAATCCTCCTCATTGGGAATAACATTAGGGAACACACGACAAGGCTGGAGATAACTGATGAAGTCGCGTATCTCTTGGTACGAGGAGTGGAAGGAAAAACATGTCCTATAAAATCCTTTCTCACCACAGATGATTTCGTGAGGACGGACCTCCTGGGTGAACCACATAGTGGACATGAGAATGGTCAGAACTCTGGGGTCATCTCCACTGGTCAGTTTGTGACCACAGGGCAAAGTGCTGGACTCTCCCTGAAACTATATATAGTATTACATACACTAAGTGGATGAAAAAAATGTTATCATATTCAAAATACCTATTAATAATGAGTGGGGTATATTTTTTAAGGGCAAAAAGCACCCAGAAAGTTACATTTCACTTATATAAGAGTTACACTCTATTATTTAGTATAACTTCAGTATCGCTATCACTACTTCTTTACATTGGACACTTTTTGACTCATTCTTTTTTTTAATTGGAAGCCAATGTTTCATTCATATTAAATGATGACATGATATTTTCTTTGTGGCACAACTCACTTAAAAATATTTTCCGTCACTTGGAATGGCCAGTGTGTGAAAGCTACGGTAAGTGAAACTTTGACTTGTTGTTTACAGTTTTGCACTTGAGCTGTACCACTTTTTTAAATACAACTATCAGAATCACTAAACTTGTATAGCACTATTTCCAATTAAAAGATGCATAAAGGCAATATGTTGGTAATTAAAAATCAAACCGATAAATGGAAATCNTGCACAACCCTTAGAAAATTTCCCACAGAGTCCTTTAGTGTTCTACAGAACCATGTAGGAAATTGGCCTGAAATTCTTTAGGGTCCTATATGTTTCCAATAGGGCATCTTAAAGAATTCCTATAGAATCCCATGGAGTCATGCAGGATTCCTAAAGAGTCCCATAGAGCATATAGAACACCTCAGGAAATTTTTGTAAGAAGGGGGAAAACCATGTCTGGGACTCTTGTTCTCAATGCACTGTATCTGCTGTCAGATAAATACTTCCAAAGCAAAGGCATATGAGACAACCATTTGTGCTTTGCATTATTGCAAATCACATACACCTCTATCACTAACTCATGGTGCATTGACATATCACGTATACCTGACGTCTTTTTTCTCCGCTTCTCAAACCACTTCCTGTTGAGCATGCCCAGTGGCTTATACTCCCCACCTATTGTACCACGCGATAAATGGGGCAGTTTCAGAAAACTGTTCAGTCTTTTTTGTACCTGAGGATAAAAAAGGAGCATTTAAACATATAGAGCACTACTTCCTTGAAACCTTATGATTATAATTTTCTCAGATATTAAATAAGTGACCAATGGTTTTATAAGTAACCAAAAGGAAAGTGAATATATATCTTACGAGTACAGTTTAGTAATATCCTATATGTGTTTGTGTATACTTTATACAGACTCTCGACTTTTGCCTATACTTCAATTCCCTTTGTATTGTTTTGTATCTCTCTCTGTTTCTCCATCTCTCTCTCATTATTTGTTTGCTGGTTAGTTTCTTTGGTTGGTTATTTTAGATTCAATTATGACTTCTTTATTAACAACATATAACATGCCATTTATGAAAATTATAATAAATCCAGATTTGCCTACAAATACCTTTTCCAAATCTTCCTTAACGGGAATAACGTTAGGGAACACACGGCAAGGCTGGAGATAACTGACAAAGTCACGTATCTCTTGGTACGAGGAGTGGAAGGAAAAACATGTCCTATAAAATCCTTTCTCACCACAGATGATTTCGTGAGGACGGACCTCCTGGGTGAACCACATAGTGGACATGAGAATGGTCAGAACTCTGGGGTCATCTCCACTGGTCAGTTTGTGACCACAGGGCAAAGTGCTGGACTCTCCCTGAAACTATATAGTATTACATACACTAAGTGGATGAAAAAAATTGTTATCATATTTATTAATCTATTAATAATGAGTGGATTGAATATTTGAAGGGGAAAAAGCATCCAGAAATTTAAATTTAAATTATAGAGGATTTAAACTCTATTATCAAGTATCACTTTAATATTACTATCACTACTTTTTGGCACTGCCTATGGCACACTTTTTGACTCATTCTTTTTTTTATTGGAAGCCAATGTGTTTGTTTCATGCATATTAAATTATGACATGATACTTTCTTTTTGGCACAACTCGATTAAAAATATTTTCTGTCACTTCCAATAGCCAGTGTGTGAAACCTACGGTAAGTGAAACTTTGACTTGTTGTTTACAGTTTTGCACTTGAGCTGTACCACTTTTTTAAATACAACTATCAGAATCATTAAACTTGTATGGCACTATTTCCAATTAAAAGATGCATAAAGGCAATATGTTGGTAATTAAAAATCAAACCGATAAATGGAAATCTCAATTCAAGTCTTACCTGCCACTCACAAGCATGTACTTGTGTCCCCGTGGGATCAGTGGTGAAACACTTGCTGATCTGTGGCACCCCTGTGTACATCTTCATCTTGCGTTCACTTATATGAATCTGTAAATAAAATAACATGTAATGTGAATCTGACAATAAAAAAAATGTAATGTGAATCTGGTAATGAAATAATGTGTAATGTGAATCTGATAAGAAAATAACATGTAATGTGAATCTTGTAATAAAATAAAATGTAATGTGAATCTGGTAATGAAATAACATGTAATGTGAATCTGATAATAAAATAAATGTAATGTGAATCTGATAATAAAAAAAATGTAATGTGAATCTGATAATGAAATCATACGTAATGTTAATCTGGTAATTAAATAACATGCCATAAAATAAACAATGCAACTGACACCATTTAAATGACAGACATTTTAATAACTTTCATTTTTATAACTGCTACCATTAAATCATACACAGTCACAATGATAAAAAAATACATTACATAAATGCTTACAAAATGCGGTTAGACGTCTTAAAGATTTTTGTGTATTGCAGCTTTGTCAGCTAAGTCTAAGTAATGCTAAAGTTTTAGCCTCAACATCAACTTATTATCTATTGTAAAACAGGCCCCAAGTCTGTTGTCTTTGGCGAAAATTTATCAAACCTTTTGTTTAAACTCCTTGTTTACTTCCTCATAAATATACTCGTATCCCAGAGAAGCCTTGCCCTTCAGCACAACCATGTGGGCGGGGCTTAGCTGAATCCAACTGTCAATCACAGAGATGATGACATCACGACACTCCTGGCGGCTTGGAATGTGGAATGCTTTTGGTGTGCAGAACGTGGTGTCAACATAAAGGCTTCTTATATTTTTGGATCTGAAATTAAAAAAAAAAAAAAAACATTGTTTTCATTCTTCCCTTTATTCCTTTTTCCTTTGTTTCTTTTTCTTTCTTTTTTTTTTTGTTTACAAATTAAAAGTTATTTATTTAAATCTTTTAAATTAGTTAATTAATAAATTAATTTTATGGAATTAGGAAAAAGGACTCCTGTATTCTAAATACCATGTAAACACAAATGCAGTTTAATGTACTTTACATAGCACAAATCACCTCCAAAAGGGACATTAGCTGTGTTCAGAAAATATCTTTCTTAAATCAACAATTGGTCTCAAACCATCATCAAAAGCCTGATAAATCAACAAATCCATCTTTGTCAGAGAAGCCCAATTGCTCCTTACAGAAAATGTAAAAAACTATTGACATCTATACATCTATTGCATTCAGTTTGTGAACAACTACTACCACTTACCTAGAACCCGAATTCAGTTGTGGAATTCTTGCTGCAGAACCTTTTTCTAGTCTAAAATCACCAGTGTATAGGACGGTTCCTTCTTCCCCCTCAAACAAAAACCTGAGAAAACAAGAAGGCCAATAATTAATTTTAATATCAATTTCAATATTTTGACAGTCTTAATACTGTGTAAAATGTCTTATCTGTTATATTTTTCAGATGTACCCTTTTACTCTCTCTCTCTCTCTCTCTCTCTCTCTCAGTATCTTATCATTGCAGAATTTGACTGTCATGGACCTCCATAACTCCCTTTGTTCAGAAGATCTAAAAATTGTATAATCCATATTCTCACTCCATAATTCAAATTTTCAGCTGTCACATCAAGCTAACCATACAGTGACCAGTGGTCAAGCTTACATCACAGAGCCTGGACAATGGGCTGCTGGGATCAAAGTGACCACCACTTCTTCCGCCTTTCCAGAAAAATTTGGTATCCTTAATCTTGTTGGGTTGTTTTCAGATAATGCGACCTGAAAATGAACCATAGGAGAGATAAATACTCATGCCAAGACAAATGTTCTTCTTTCAGTCTGTCTGCTTGACTGACTGTTTTATTCATTCCAAGGTCTCAGAAAGACACACCCCCTTTAATGTTACATCAAAAGCAAGGAGTTAAGTTTTTTGAAAAAATAAAGATACTGTAACAGTAATAATGCCATATTATAATAATACATAGAAAAATGGAATTTTTTTTCAAATATCTAATCCATATTCATAACATTACCACATGCTTGTCCAGGTGTTTGTAATTGCCATCCTGCATGTGCAACAATATCTGTCTGGTTACTTCAGAGCAATAAAGCTTTATGTCTCTGCTGCAATGAAATAAGGCATGAAATGTTAAATTTTCTTGAAATATTATGTGTGCGGGTATGTGTATGTGTGTTTAATAACCAAAGTCAAAGTGACATCTGCAAAAAAAATAATAGTGGAAAGTTGATGGTTTTCTTCATGTTTTTAGATGTATTTTACAAATAATAATAATAATAATAATAATAATAATAATAATAATAATAATAATAGCAATGATGAAACAACACTATCCCATTCTATTAAGTTTCTGTCAGTAATTAACTTCAAATGCAATTTTGCAATTCAACCACAAATCAGTGTCAGAACATGCTCCATTTTGAAACTCACCATGAGTTCAGACGATAAAGGAAGCTAGGATAGCTCAATCCTACCATGTGGTCTGAAATTAAAATGATACTTTTAAAGGGATAACAACTGTTCATTTTGGTAAAAAAAATTCCTGGGGTAAACCGCAATTTTCTCATACTTACCAATGGTTAATGAATCCATTTCAACATCTTAAGTTTGTCCCTGGATTTCTTCTAAAAAGTTTCTTTTTTTGTAATAATCTCATAAGATTATCTTAAGTGATTATTATTACAGAGTATAGTCATTTACGGAGGTCACACAGTCTGATGGCATGCACAGAATTATTGCTTTAACTGCCGTTTTTGTGGTAAAATAGAATATATTATTTTTCTATTTGTTTAAAATATATATTTATAAATTGTGAAATATAGAACTCTAAGAGCCATACTCAAATCTTCTGATAAAGCAAAATCTATAAGCAGTGAGTACAAGTAGGTACTTTTGCTACATCAGAACATTTTATTAAATCATAAAATGCACGTTGTGGAGTAATGTTTGAAGATGGCCGTTTAAATACAGCTTAACTGTGCTGGAAATTTAAAATTAGTTTATTATCTCCAGTTTTTAGGAATTTTTTCATTACATGGAACGTGAGAGTCCCTTAGGCAAATGAGATAAATTTTAATCAAATGTTCAGCTATCGAAAACAAGCAAATAAACAACAGAGACTATGAGTATACCATTATCATGTAATCATGTACTACTTTCAATTCAAAAGAGTCAAATGCAATAAGGTCATTTTTGTGTGGCTATTTTTTATTGGGAACTATTCGATATTTATTGGAAATATCGAAAACGCAACCAATTTGTTCTGTAGAGGCTGTAGGCTTTCGCGCCAACCTAGTATGGTATTTCAACTACAAATCAACAGTACCCACCAGTATGACAATGAGACAAGAAAAACGCAGTACTCTCCAGGTTCTCCTTGTCAAATCTGTCCAGGGATATCCGGGAGTACTCCCGCATTTGTCCACAAAATGTGCTCATGGTGGATCGTCTACCCAGGTCGTGATAGTCGTTTTACTTGCTGCAAAATACAGAAAATCCCCAACCGGAAGCTGCCATATTGAAAATTATCACCCCGCGTTATTTCCTTTTCTCCTTTTTCATTGGACATTTAGATATCTTTTTTCCTGGTAGTTTACACGTGAAATCGAAAGCTGTGTTTTGGCTCATAAATCAAAGGTAAAATTACAATATATTTTAAAAAGTGACTAAAATAATGAAACGTAGTCGATAAACCATGTATAGCGTAATATTCATCGATCTTGGTTATTTTGGCGTACAGAACTTCAAAATATGTGAACTTTTGTTTTACCGCACTTGCCGGTTCTCGGTTCCCAAGACTTCTCGATCTGACACGTCGAATCACTTAGAGGGACATCATTGACGTTAATACTACCAGCATATGTGTGTCTTAAGATTTTGAGCAGCATATCACATACTTGACTCTCATAAATTTCTTTTCAGTCTTGAAGCTAGCATGGCTGCAGCGCCCAGAGGAAGAGGTGGAAGGGCAACATTGCATGAGTTACAACAAGTGGGGGTTGATTTCCTCGATTATTTGAACCTCCAGGGGATAGCTGGCAGTGTTCCCAAGGGGTTACTGAGGGACATATTTCACAGCCAGTACAAGCCATATGTTGCACAGAGAAACAGTGAAAGTGGCGGGCAACAGCTACGAGTGAGAGCTTTCAGTGGTGTATTGTTTGCTCTAAAAATACACAGGTAAATGTTGTTGTACAGGTTAGCATCATAGTTATGTATGCAGCTTTATGTCTTTGCTTCATGCCCCATAAACAGAACAAGAAAGAAGTTATAACTGATTTGAAATGGTATTGCCAATGGCAAGCATTTTATTGGTATTAGGCCAAAAGCATACTATGGTGACTATTATATGTATTATAATTAGTATGATTATTATTATAGGTGTGTCCATAAGACAAAAGACATGATTGTTTTACAACCTGACAATGATCAGGGTGGAAGTGCCAATAGTCGAAGCAAGAAACGGAGAAACAATCAGAAGAGTAGAATTGCAGCCAGATTTCCAGAACCTGGTGAAGACCCGAAAAGAAGCACCGCAACACCAGACAATGAAGGTGAGGTAGCTCTCAAAGGCCGGTAGACTGCAATTTCAAAAGGGGGTTCTTTTTTCCGAAAAAGTGGACCTTTTACCATAAACCTTTATGTACCTAGATAAAATTTTACCCCAAGGGAACCTTTTCCCAGCCAAAAGGGGGGTGCTCCCAAAGCCTCCTGGCTACAGGCCTGCCTCAAATGTATTATTGTTCATATTTTATTTGCCATTTGAAAATTGTTAGTTGGATGTTTTACGTATCTGTAGCATTTATTATTCAGACTGACCTGTTGACAATGATAATCAGGCCCGTAGCCAGCAATTTCAAAGGGGGGGTTCTTTTTCTGAAAAATTGGACCTCTTACGTACCATATAATCCCAATTTACCTAGGTCGAATTTTACCTAGAGTGGACTTTTTAACAGCAAAAAGTGGGGGATCTTTCTAACCCCCCGAACTCCCCCTGGCCACGGGCCTGATAATTCTTTTCAGGTGAATGTTTTACAGTACTGTAGTTTACTTAGCCAGTTCTGCAAACAGCTTTCTTTGTCATAATATTATAGTACTAGTAAGAGAAAATGTCAATCTTAAAATGAAGTGAATTCAAAGTATGAATTCTCATTGGTGATTATTACTAACCAATATAGAGTTTATTATCAGCTGGAAATTTTGTTTTTGTAATCACAAGAGGGACCCAAGTCCAGAAGAAAGCATGGAAAAAAGGGACGTCTTGCGGTCGACCAGTTCATATCTTTGTCAGCAAAATCAAAAGATTCACCAGATGTTTCTGAGAAAAAGTCAGGAGACAGTCCCACTAAAGCCTTGCCAAAAGGTGTGGCAAAGCAGAATAAGGTTCACGTGTGTCAAATTTGCAAGGTTTGTAATGATGTTTATGACTAAAATAAATCAATAAGAAAATGAATTCCATCTTTACTTGAGATTTCTTGTACAATGGACTAGGCAGAACCCTGATACTTTGTGACTGAAAATTTTCTTTGATTTATGCAGACTAAGGTTTAAGTTATGCAGTGTTTGAATATACAATTTACTTCATCTAATAACAAAAAAGAAATCCACTCTGCAACATTTATACAAGCTACAGTATATTAAACAATTAGCTGCTGAGTCATAAGGCAACAGGGTTACAAGGAGGAGATGTGGAAACTATTGTCTGAAATATTTCAATACCTTGTACTTTTTCCATCCCACTTAAGTGATAACCCCTTTCAAGGTGATAAAGTATGCATAAATACCCCTTGTATATTAGATTAGATTAGATTAGATTAATTTAGTAGATTGTATTTGTAGGTAAGTTTTGGAAATACTAGAATTAATTCATAGCTTAGATTTGTTGATTAGTTTTGAAAAAAAATAAGAAAATATCATTGAAATTTCATATAGATAATCATATAAATATTTAATCAATTTGATTGTTGATTGTTCAATTTGATTGTTGATGACTTAATTAAAAGATCCTTTGTATGAGTAATTGACATAAAATAGAGAGAAATATCAACCTAAAGTAAATTTTTTTTTTTCTAATTTGCAGGTGAATTGCTGCACCAAATTAGAATTGGAGAAACACTCAAAAGGGAAAAGACACAGAGTGCAGTCTCTAGTTTATAATCTTAGAGCCAACAGGTCTGATGTGGCATATTTTCATTTGTTGCATATCGTAGTGTTTTCCACTAAAGTAAATTTCAGTTAAGAATGAAGTGATTTTTTCAGTCAACGGCTTAATATTGAAAAAGTGTTACCTCCAATGTTTAAATATTAAGCTGTTGGCTGAAAATATAATTTCATTCTTATAACATAACACAACTAATGAAATTCAGCTCTGACAAATTGCAGTTAAGAGTTAATTTTTTATAAGGCAAATGTGCTAGCATATTTATTTTTTATTTCACAAACTAAGAGGGATTAATTTCCAAATGTGCTGATTAGAAAAAGAAAAATGAAGTCATTATTTGGCTAAAACAAACCGCCAGAATGCCTAATTTATGAACTTTTCAACTGAACCCTTTTTTGATTTACTGTATCAACCAAAAGTCACAGCATGATTAAGAAGTGCATGTAAATAAGTTTTGTTACACTTACTGTGTACAACCATCATTAGGTATGTAGTCACTATTAAAATTGTACCAAAGTAAACAGCAATTTGAGTAGAATTAAAGCCTTAATGTTGCAAAAAGGGATTTTTCTGGAAACGTCAGCAATTTTCCTATGTCACCAAATTATTTCCTTTATTGCTGCCAAAATTAAATTTAAATCTAAAAAAAATTAAATTCTGCTACCATAAAGTTCTATCATTCATACCACAACTTAACAGATTTATTTCTTTTATGCAGAGAACACTATATTTCTGACAAGTTTGACATAGCCATCACTAGCACTGTAGAACTGATCAAGGGATGCTACACATTTGACTTGACAGAGAAAGTGACCACTGAGATCACTTTGACCATAAAGAACATGAGTACCAGTGAGTCAGTCACTCTAGAACACTGTGAAATGTTAAAACGTCAACCAGTGTTCAGCTTGAGTGACCCTGCTAGAGTGACCGATGGCATGGCAACTAAAACCATCCAAGCAGGTAAATTTAGAAACTCTGGCAATGATTTGGAGTGATGCGGTAACGATAAGGCCACAATCACAACAGTGGACTAACACCCCATTTCCATAGATTTTTAGATCGATCTATCCCTGTGGGGAGTCTCACTAGATTACTGTCAGCTTGGCCGGCTTAAGCGTCTGTCCCGCCTACTAAAAGCTGTAAGGGGGTAATTAACTATGGTGCCCGCTCGGCTGACTGCAATTTAGGGTGAACCCCCAGGGAGTTAGGTCGATCTAAAACTTAATCTTTAGATCGATCTATATCTCTGGGAAAGCACCCTAATACATAGATCAAATACGGTGACCCACTTGTAAGCTTGCTGCATAATCCCCTGATAGACACTGAATAGATTCAGAGGGGATTAAGCGATGCATTCAAGTGGGTCGGCCACATTCGATCCGCAGATCTGGTAGACCGCTGTTGTGAATGCGGTCGTATTGAAGTTTTTGTGCATCAGAAACTTGATATATCTATAAGGTAGGAAATGCCCCTACTTCCTCAGTATAAAAGTATTTTTGTTGAAAATTGTTCTGTGAAAATAAAAAAACTGGCAGCAATTTTTCAGTACAACAGTACTTGTGTCTCAAAGTCAAGATACAGTTCTTGTGGGTTAGAAAAACAATGGCCTTGCTTAGAAGGAAAGATGAATAAGATTTTTTCTGTGAAAATTGTCATTTGAAAGTGCAAGAATGGAGTCAGTCACTTCTTTTAATTTAAGTATTACAAGTCGTCTGGGCTTTAGTTTTTTCATCTGTTTGATCTGAATTTTATGCTTTTTGTTTTCACATTAGGTGATTCCTACAATATTACTGTGAGAGCCAAAGCCTCTTATGTTGGGATCTATAGAGTTCCTGTTGCCTTCCACTTCAAAAGACCAAATTCTCCCACAAAGAACATACATATTATCAGGTATGGAGACCTACCCTCTACCAGGGCCATAGGTTGGTTTTTCACTAGATTTTAGCAGATAAGTCTCAGGTTAAATAGATGACTTATCTCTGTACTGTGACCCTGTGCTGAAATCTCGAGGATGATTACAATTGTCTACATAACTACTTTAACTACCGTCTCCTTGTCTCTTTGACAGTAATCAAACCAGTTTGCTCATCTGTGATAATAAAAACAGCCCCTTATGAATAGCTAGTTGCTTCCGGGTGGTCCTTCAAACCACCAGGACTAACCAGATTGCGTAACAAGTGTTTATCACATCCACACTGAGCTCCTGCAGAGCGAGTACAATGCCATCTGCACATGTGCAAATTTAATTGCTTCCATCTGGCCAAATGTTACAGGGTTGCACCTTCAGAAATGTTCATATAATAATAACTATGGCCCTGGTAGAGGGTGGGTAAGACCAAAGTTTCCCACAGAGAATATACATATTAACAGGTATTAATAGGTGGTAACTGATGGAATTTTTGGCATATTTAAAGGAGGTACTGTGCTGTTTTTTCTTGAAGAAAAGTAAGATTGGCATTTTGCCTTTATTTATAGATCTAAGACTATGTTTCATAAAGAATGAAGAACAAACTTGAACATTTCAGTAGACCATTTCTGCTTCTTTTTTATTGCCCAAAAGCATAATGGAATATATAGTCACTGTACTGAGTTTATAATAACTAACCAATAACTATAATAATAATAAATAAAGTTTGGCGAATAAGATAATGCTTCCTTAAATCTTTGTTGCATTGCAGTTATACAGTCTTTTCTCTTCTGTTTTAAAGGTGTAATCCTTTTTTTTTCTAGGTATCTGTGTGCTTGGTGTCAAAATGATGACATTCGTCAGCTCCAGCCTACAGCTCCCTTCAGACGCCCTCCCAGAGTGGCTCTAGGCAGGCAGGGGACAGAGATCATAGATGGCTTGCCAGTTCCCAAGTAAGCACCATTCTCTTCTTTCTCTCTCTCTCTCTCTCTCTCTCTCTCTCTCAAGCTTCTTTCTTCCTTCCATCCCTTCACCCCCTCTCTCTTAGAAGCTCCCTTCCTCACTCCCTCCTCTCTCTCTCTCTCCTCCCCTCCTCTCTCTCTCTCTCTCTCTCTCNTAATAAAATTATCCATCGGGAGGAATGAAAATTATATTGCAAAATACATTAAAAAGCGTAGGAAGGTTAATTGCAGATAATACTGTGAGGATATTCTAGGGGGTCATGCCGATACTCCCCCGCACCGTAACTCCCCCGTACTAATACTCCCCTGCACCGATACTTCCCCTTCGTAAATTTTTGCACTATGCACATCGATACGACCTCACACCGATTGATCCCCGCATCGATAAATCCCCTCTTAAATTGCCGTTATATGCACACCGTTACTCCCCCGCAACGATACTCCCCGCATTATTACTCCCCTATGCAATTTCCACGAAACTGAAGGTCTGGGTAATGGAGAGTCATCCCTTCATTTAATTATAGGCCTACAGGTTAGGGTCAATCGACGTAAGTGGGTCAAAATCTAGGGCGGGGCTGAATTACCTATGCAAATTGATGGGAACCGGACTGTCTATCATGGGAGAGAATGTCACCTTGCATCAATTTTTTTCACATATAGATTTGAAAAATTGGTCAACGACTTGGAAGCACGGCCTACATTGTATAAGAAATACTTTTTTCAAATGGAAAAACGCTTTGGATATTGGTGAGATAAGTAAAAAAAAATGGCCACTGGGAGATCCTTGGTGATGTACGTTGTTTTTATGCTATTGCGCAGTGCATACAACTCTTAATTGCTTACAATTGAACATCAGTATTGTACAAAAGAAGCCGCAAAGTTCCTAAAAAATCTTGGGCGACAACACATTAGTCTCATTCACAACCGGCCGCACGGGCTCTTACGACCTGTTTGAGTCAAATTTTGCGGAGAATCTCACGTGCCACGCAAGTCCTATATGCGAAATTACGAGTTCGCATGCACGTATGTAAGCACGTACGGAGGATACTAAACATTTCCAATAGATGCTACAAATAATCTTTGTTACGCTTTATTCTACAAATAATCTCAAGTTACGCTTGCGGCCTCGCTGTTTAAATAACCTTTAAACAGCGGGGCCGCAAGCGTAACTTGCTCCCTTTGCAAGGAGTTTGCGAGGAGTTTGCAAGTGAGACTTGCGTGGTCCAAGACGCACGTCGCAAGCAATGAAAGAGAAAGTGCCCTTTGCGTGTTTAGTACGGCGCACGCCCTCACATCTATGACGAAGTAAGTCGAAAACACGGCGGGACTGCGAGAATAATAGGTGTGCTCACGACGCATGCTCGTTGTCCAACAATTTTCAGAAATTTTGAATTTTGCTCAATTCAGATTCTAATGTGCCTCCAAAAGACAAGGGAAAGAAGTTTAAGAGCAGAAAAGAAGGTTGGAGGAAGATAACAGAAAACGAAGCGCTTTAGCACTGCTTTTTTATTATTTAATAATTTAACAAAATCATCGTTGCCTGAAGAAAAGACATAGCTGCGTCATCTTAGATTAAAACTAACTTTGCCTTAAGTAAATAAATAAAAGGGTGTATAATATAAATACGGAAACTACAGTAGGAGAACAATATTAATTTTGCACAAACATTTCTCAAATTTACAAGGCATAGCTGTAGGCCTACGTACTGTTAAGCTGCATGCAAAGTCTGAGATCGACCTTGAGTAACGCCCTTTATTTTCCCCAAATATATTTCGAATAAATTGTGTCAATCCCCTATGTGTCCCAAGAGGGTGGTGCATCTTTAAAAAAAAGTAGCATAATATAAAGGGTTTTGAATCACGATTTGTGTTTACAAAGCCCAGGGAATCTTTGCTTTGGGGGAGTAGTGTTTTTGCGGAGTATTGGTAGGCGGGAGCATCAGTGGGGGGAAGTATCGATGCGAGGATGTAAAGAAGCGGGGGAGTATCGGTGCGGGGGAGTATTGGTGCGGTGATGTAAAGAAGGGCGGGAGTATCGGTGCATGGACGTATAGGCATTCTAGTCGGGGGCGAACTCGGCCAATATAAAAATTTTAACTTCGTCTTACGATTTTGGAGCGCCTGTTCTAATTTTTAAAAGTGAGACAATGGAACCAAACAATACGAATCTAAAAAGAATTGATATTTTTTAATAGAGGTTATAGCCGGGCGTACATCAAAAGGCGGCTCATTTATTATTGTGATATGTAATAATTATGTAAAAGATGCGATATAATACGTTCTTGTCGATTAGCTTTATTGATTTTTTAAGTATTTGGACACTAAAAACAATTTAAGCTGAATGGTTTCAAATTGAGGCACCACGTATTTTAATACTGTTAAAACCATGGAAAAGGTCAAGGACGTTTCAGATCGCTGACGGTGCGCGCGCGCCATCTGGTGTTAAGTCCGCGAATGACCGTTTGCGACAACTGATTGTTGAGTTGCTGTAACTGATTGTTGAGTTGCGATAACTGATTGTTGAGTTGCAGTAACTGACTTGAATTGTTAATGATTGTTAGATTTTGACGAATGATTAAAATGACCAAAACTAATTTAGTAGAATTAAGTTAAGATAGTTAAAGTAGGTTTTGGCTGTTAAATAGTGCTGATAGATTGTTGAATTGACGTTTGCATTTTTTGCATGAATGGTGTTCCATAAATCTAAATGCAACCATATATATATTAAAATAATATAGGCTTAACTTAGTAAATTCTTAGTCAAATGTATTTTCATAATCCCCGAAAAATGATATTTTACACATCTTATCAGTATTTTTCTGTACTTTATAACCATTGGTAATTTTCGCCCATCGACTTCGTTAAAACAATATGAATATTCTCCACAACACCATGCAGTTTATATTTTAATCAGGCTAACAATACGAGTTTTACATGGGCATCAAAGTCTGGGTGAGGGTAAGACTATTGCCATTCTGTGTTGCGAAAATTTTTCATATAAACTGTTGCATATTAGATTTATTACCCAGCCGTGTACAGCGCTAGAATTGTTTTAACTTTTGATTTAAAAACAAATGCCCAAGCATATTTGGAAAGCGTTTAATGACAAAAATTAATATCAGGCCTACTCAACTACCAGACTCGGCACATAAGGATCCTTGAATTAACCGTTATATCGGACCACACTGCCCGTTTTCAAGGTGTGTGTTAGGTCGCATTTCGGAGTATCATACCCCAGAACAAATTTTGTAGCACGACTGCGAGCTCATCCACGCTCGGCTGAACAACCTTAAACTGTACTCTTGCTTTAGAGTACTCTATTTTATTGTCTCTATGGGGGTATATGGGGACTTTACGACATTCGGTTTAAATGTTTTAACCACTTTTGATAGGGATTTTTGCATTGTATTAGATTAATGTGGCGGTCTAAGGTTCATCCAGGTGGCTTTCAAATTTATGCACCCGGTTTTAAAATCAAATAGCGATTTTACGACAATCGTTTACTATCCAATCAAGGTGACAGTCGAGCGTGGGCTCATCCTGTCGGTGTTCCGACTGATACTCCGAAATGCGATCTGACACACACCTTGAAAACGGGTCTTGCAGTCCGATATACCGGTTAATTCAGGATCCTTAGGTGCCGAGTCTGGTAGTTGGGTAGGCCTGAATATGCCCTGGTCGTATTTTGACATTTTACCTGCGGTGCGGCAGGTATACATGTGCAGCGGGTTACCTTTTGCTCACAACACATATCCATTAATAAGTTTCTTCATACTTAAATTACACGTATATTATTATAATTGCTAATTGTGGTTCATCATGCGCACATTCTTAAAATCCTTATTTTTACAGATAGTGCACAGGCAGTACAAACAAGTGAACCAGGTAATTTTGTATTTGGTAGTGCTTGGGTTATGCTTAGAGGTGCGTTCATTATTCTTATTTTTACTTTTATTTATTTTTTTTTACAAATCTTCAATATAAAGAAATAGCATAATGTTATTAGCATGTACCCCCCTGTTCATATGACAGCACATTTCACTGACTACATATTTCTCCCATAATGCAGGGTGATTGCCGTATATTTTACACACAAAAACACACACGCACGCACGCACGCACACACACACTAGTTAGTATACTACTCACTCTCTTTCCTTATAAAATTATTGTACAAAAAGCATTGATCATTATCAGAATTTTCTATTTGTAGGTGCGAGTGGCCCGAATGTGTCATTTATCCATACACAGAGGTTTACAAGGCTGCATTATCTCGTTATTGAACTTGGAACGAAAGCCATTAAAAGCTTCTTCCTCAAGGATGTTGTTAGGCCTGGCATCACTGACGGTGGGGACATCAGTGATAACAATGCAGTGGTTCAGTTTTTAGGCAAGAAAGGCGTGAGAAAGGAACTTGAGAAACTCAAGAAAACGAAGGCCATATACGACTCTCAGTGGAATCTGTTGTACCCTGCCTCTGGTCATACAGATGTGGAAACGTTTGACATTACATTGCTGGTGTTATTGATAAGAAATCTTCACCCAGACAAAGCCAACCTAAAATGGCCCAAAGCAAATGCCACGACAAGTACCCCTCCACAAACGACACAGGGTTTCATCGAACACATCCAACGGCTTAAAAATGTCAGGAATTTTTTACAGCATTCCGCCAAATATGGGATCCAAGACATGGAGAAATTCCGCACAAATTGGGAAATCGCTGGTGCTTCTGTTCTAGCACTTGGTGCAGATCCAAAGGAAGTGGAAAAGATACAGGAATTCAACTTTAGCTTACAGGAGATAGATACAATAGTGTGTGAAATACGCAGCTGGGCAGAAGATAACAAACGGCATTTCGACAGCAGATTTGACAGGCTTGAATTAGTAATTAAAAATATTTATTTCCCTCTGTATGTGCTGGTCTCTGTGCCGTCCTCATTGCGCTTGCCATAAATTGAAAGAGGCAGATTTTTTTTTTGGGGGGGGGGGGGGGGGG